CCGTCTGCTGCAGCTGCCCCACGGATCTGCAGACCAGGCATGGAGGTGTCCTGGGGCCGCGGCTGGCTGGCTGCCCTCTGGTGGCTGGGGTTCCTGGGGAACCTGGTGAGCGTCGCGGGCACACACTACCGCTACCTGTGGAGAAACTGCTACCCGTGCCACCTGGGCCAGGCTGGCTACTCCGTGAGCACCGGTGACCAGAGGCCAGGTGGGCTCTGGGTGAGCAGGGGCGGGCGGGCCCCAGGGAGCTCCCTCCCCAACAGATTTCCCTTTGTTTCCTTTTTGCAAAGTTTGTGCCAGGCCGCTTGACAGCGGGGACTGGAGGGAGCAGACTCTGCACAGCACCAGGCACGCAGCCCCCAGCTCTGGGACAGAGCCAGGGTGTCCCCAGGAAGCAGACATCGTCCCTCCGGGGCTGGCTGCAATGTGTTGATCTTAGGAAGGTTGTGTACGCCTGTGTGTGTGCATGTACATACATGCATGTATATGTATGTGTGTGCATGTGCCTGTATCTTTCTGCTCCGGTCTCAGGGATGTCCCCTGCCTTCTATGCCAGCAGCTTGGGGTCAGGTCACGGGTCAGGCTGGAGTTGGCCCAGGGGTTTCTGAAGCTGGAGCCCCTCTCCTGGGTCCCAAGAGGCTTGGCCCTTTGGGACCACGTGTGGGGGTGTGGCTGTCCTTCCTGCCTGCTCACCGCCAGCCTCCATGGACCTGGCCACTGGGTTCCTGAGAAGCCCTGGACTCGGGACTCCTGTAGCTTCGGGGTGCAGGGGCCCCCATTGTGTCCTGGGTCCACCCTGTCCCTCTGCTGCTGGCATCTGGTGCCAGCACTGGGCTAGCCCCCCTCCACGAGGCTGCCTGGAGCTGGGGACCCTCAGGAATGTGAGGAGGGGGGTGGTGTGTTTGGTTTCCATTGAGTCACCCCTGAACCCCAGGGGGGGTCCCCTGAGCTTCCCCTGGGGGATAATCTCCCTCATGCCTGGAGGATAGCTGCCTCTCCTGGTGTGGTCACTCCACCACCTGGACCCAGATCCCCTCCAACCCAGGACAGCCTTCTGCTGACACCCAGGCTGGTGTGGCACCGCATGGGGGGGGCACTGAAGGCTGTGTGCATGGAGGTCAGTGGGCTGGGCCGCCGTGCCCCACCCGCCCAAGGCCTTCAGAAGGACTGGGAGGGGCAGGCCCTGGGAGGGAAGGGCCCTGGTGTGGTGTGGGGGCTTCCTGGGGTGGGGGGGTCAGGGCGGAGCCCACTAGGTGCCAGCAGAGCAGAGCTTGCTGGCCGGTGTCCAGGGGTCTCTGGTTTTTTGGAACCTGGGCAGTCTTCAAGGGGCCTTTGGGGTGGTTTCCGCAGCGGCAGCGTTGGCTGTGGGCCGGGCCCCCTATCCATCTGGCTGTTCGTGCTGGCAGTGGGTGAGGGTAAAGGCGGCCCCAGCCTCCTGAGTGGCACCCACTTGGGAGACGCAGGGCTCCCAGAAGACCCGGCCAGGGTTGGCACAGGGCTGACAGGGCCAGCGTGTGCCGCTGCTGCTCCCGTCTTCCGCCTGCCGGTGGTCTCCAGGCACAGCTGAGGGGCGATCGGGAGCCCGGGGCATCCCTGCGAATCCCGGGCCTGGCTGTTCCTTAAGACGGCCCTGCCAGCGCTTTGCTCCCAGCCACACGGCCCCTCCCGGGTGCCCCAGGCTGTGCCCTAGGGGCTGGGGCTGGAGTGGGTTTGCCCCCTACCAGGTGTTACCCGGAAATGAAGACCAGCTCTTGGAAAGCAAAGAAGGCATGGCCCCCATCCCTCACTCAGCCCGCCCTGGGGTGCCCGCTCTGCCTGGGGCTCAGGCCCCCTTGTGGCGGCGGGAGGGCATTGCCGCTGGCGTTGCCCATGCTTAGCCGGGCCGCTTTGTGTGTGGGGAGGGCTCACTGCAGGCTTGGGGACAGTGGTCCTGGGAACGAACCCAGGGCAGGTGGACCTGGGAACCCAGCTTCCAGATGTGTTGGGAGGGGCGGGCAGCGGCTGTGGGCCTCCTGGTGGGCACAGGGGACTCTAAGCTGGGCCGGGAGCCCGGCTGGGAAGTGGGGGGCTGCTGTCCTAGGACTTGTAATTTGCTGAGTCTGGAGAAGACTCCGGAGACAAACAGCCCTGTGGGCTGCATTTGTGTCTTGTGGCTGCTGTTGCACATTGCCCTAAAGGCAGACTTATTACCCTGGACAGCCCTGGAGGTCAGGGTCTGCCCTCGGGAGGCTCCGGCATGGGAGGCCGCCTGCATTCCTGGGCTCTCTGCCTCCTCTTCCGTCCAAGCCGGCCTCTCCGCATCTTGCGGCTCCAACCTCTGCTTCATCCTCATGTCCCCGACTCTGACTCTGAGGCGGATCTTCTGTCTCCCCCTTGCAAGGCACACCTGGATAATCCAGGACAGTCCCCCAACTCTTGATCTTATTTGTAAGGTCTCCTCTGCTAAGCAAGGCTCTGGGAAGATGCACACAGACATCTTTGGGGTGCTCTTCGTCAGCCGCACTGTCCCGCGTCTCCTCGGGTCGCTGTCAAAGCCCTGGTTGTGTGCTCAGCCCTTCCTGGATCCTTGGAGATGTCGGGGCTCCCTGTGGGACGGGGCAGCCAGGGCTGCTTTCAAACACGTCTACAAAGGCTCTCGGGACTGGAGGGACCCCAGCGGGAGGGCACCTGGCCAATAGCCAGGACTGGGTTCTTGGGGTGAAGGGTTCAGCCTTGAACCCACCCAGTAGGTCTAGACACTTCCTCTGGCACACAGCAAATGGGGGTGGGTACTGAAAACCATGGCAGTGCTTCTGTTACCCCTGTGTACATCCCATCGCAGATGCTACCATGCGGAGCAGACACCCAACCTCCATGCAGCAGCGTTGGGGGTAAGGAGTTGGGGTCCGCGTGTCAGTCCCCCCTGAGGGGTGACCAGGCCCTGGCTTGCTGGGAGGTGGTCTGCCAGGAGTCAGAGCTGCTGTGGCCCCTTTTGCTCAAGGCACCTTGGCAGAGCATTGAGCATCTGTCTTCTGCTGGGTGCAACCCTCAGCTGCCTGCCCCAATCCTCTGGCCTGGGACTTTGGCTCTCGTTAGTAGGGCTGGCTGATAAAGGTTGGCCTGCGTGCTGGGTGTGGACTCCGGTGCCCCGACATGGCCCTCACCTCTGCCTATGCCCAAGTGGTGTCCTCCTCCCCGCCGGTCAGTGGCTCCTGGCCAGTCACTGGAGTCGCTCCACGTGCTCAGGGACCCCCTGGTACTTCAGTGCCTTTGCCGTGCCTGAGCCCCAGGCCACAGAGGGGGCTCCTTTGGAGCTCTCCTGGGGGACAGGGGGTGCCGTAGGTGTCTGGTGCCGATAAAGTCTTCGCCTGGAGCCACACACAGGCGTCCTCGCCTCCCTGTATTCTGTTCCACCTGCGTCCATCTCTGCCTGGGCCTCCCTGCCCCGCAGCGTGGCAGACGTGGGCCTAGAGAGCAGGGAGAGGCCAAGGCACCCCGAGCCCCTGCACATCCGACATTCCCAGGGTGGGATCTGGGCACAGGGCCCCAGGCAAGGCTCTTCCGGGCCCTCCAGTTTACACCCTGCCACTTCCCCTGGGACCCAGGCCCTGGTACTGAGGGAAATCACGGGTGAGCAGAAGGAGCAACAGGACCCCTGCAAGAGTCACAGCCTTGGGCTCCCCCTGGCCTCTGACTGCCTACCCAGCTGTGGGCAGAGTCTGCCCCCACCCCCAGGCCAGGAGGTCAGGGTCAACCCTTCCTCCTGCCTCTCCTTTCCTGTGCTTCCCTGGGTCTACAAGCCATGCTTCAGACCTGCTTCCCCTCAGGCACTTGGCCAGAGGTGGGGTGGGAAGGCCAAGGAGCGCGAGGTCCAGGACTCCTGTCCCAGAGAGGTGGCAGTGCCACCCTTCCTGTTTGGCACCGGGAGCCCTGGGAAGGGAGGGTCTCACTTGTCCTGGAGCTGCCCTGAGCAAACCACAGCAGATGGCTTAAACCAGCAGGGAAGTGTCCTGTCCTCCCTCCCCCCCCTCCCTCCCTCCCTCCC